GCCGAGCGGTGCCTGCGAGCCGATTGGCTGCAAGGCTCTTGTTACTATGAATGGACTGTGCGCTGATTGGTGGAGAGGATAGCACCAGACAAACTGGGTTGAACAGTGATGCAGCAAAGCTGGAATGAGGGGGTTTAGCTGGGAGACACAATGACCCAGTCTGTAAAACTAAAAGACAAAACAATGCACACATTCTAAATGCAATAAGAGGAAATATTTATGAAGAGTGGAGCAAAACTGCGTATACAAACCAGAGAAAGTGCAAATGCTAATTTTAAAAAAGAAAACAGTTAGTTGCTATGGGCAACAGAGTCACTTTGTGCACATCTTTATGCACGTTAATGACATTCCATTCAAATAGGGTTAGCATGGCAGTCGCTTTACTCCATGTTAAGCCGCTTTGCGCACCCCACAAAAAGGCCAGTGCAGTGTTTGCTTTACGCCATGTTGGGGCGCTTCAAGGCGTTCGTGACATGCAGAATTCGGGCAGCACTTGCTTACACCAGCCTGTGTACATCATGCACGTGTGTGATGTCATCATGCACGGGTGTAATGACATCACACACACTAAACTGCCGGCGGCCATCTTGGTGATGGACGCCGGCACAGAGGGGAGGGGGTATACCTTATCCTGCCGGGTCCCCTTCTCTCTCGTGCAGCTGTGAGTCATTTGGGTGTCACCCCCTCTGATGGTGTCACCCGGTGCAGGCTGCAACACCCGCACCCCCCTTGTGATGCCACTGCAGTTTACTTTTCCAAGAAATAAGTTCTTCTTTTGCAGGATGAATTTAAGAATTCCCTCTTCCTGATATATGAGTGTGCCTAGGCACTCCTGTGCCTTGAGACTTAGGCCTCATTCACACGAGAAACAGCTGCGTGCAAGGCCGTATTGGGCAGCTCATGGAAAGGACAGGTGCTGCGTGTGATTAGTGCGCAGCCCCCGTCCTTCTCTATGGGAGTACACGGCCGTACGCCGCTCTATGTCCGTACTCGTACGCTGACAGGATGGATGTACGGACCTGCACTGTACGGACCTGCACTTGGGGGTGAGCTTAGGGCGGCGTAAGGCCGCATACTCCCATAGAGAAGGACAGGGGCTGCGTACAAATCACACGCAGCACCTGTCCTTCCCAGGAGCTGCCCCATATGGCCGTGTACGCAGCACGGAGCTGTATGTGCCGGCTTTTTCTCGTGTGAATGAGGCCTTATAGCTGCATATCTGCAGTGTGAGATCTAAGGCACTACTGTCTCTGATTGCTATTCTCAGGAGATTTGGGGTGAGATTTGAGATGAGGAATTAAAGCCAAAACTGTGCCAAATCAGTCCCCTGCAAGATTTGCCTTTATCATGAATTCTTCCTAAAAAATAGCAGTGTGCTTTCTGTGGCTAGGCAGTGTCATAGCTTCATATCCACAGTGTGAGATCATCTAAGGCAGCTTTTCTTAGCCAAGGTGCCGTGGCACCCTGGTGTGCCTTCTGGCTCCTTTAGGGGTGACTCAACATTTTGTGGTAGTGGGACTGTGATGTGAAAGGGGAGGAAAGAAGACTGCAGTGAAGGGGGCTCTTGATGTAAAGGAGGAACTCTGATGTTAAAGGGAGGGGGGACTCTGATGTGAAAGGGGGGCTCCTGATGTGAAAGGGGGGCTCCTGATGCAAAGGATGACTCTGATGTGAAGGTGGGGGGGGGGGAATCTTGATTTGAAGGGGGCACTTTGATGTTGGAAAACCTACTTTTTGTGTGAGTTTTTCGTGGGGTCCCCCTAAAACCCATGGCATTTTAGACTGGGGTGGCTCGAGATTTTGCACACTTTGAAAGGGACTGAAAAAAGGTTGAGAAATGCTGATCTAAGGCACTGCTGCCTCTGACTGCTATAGTGATGTCACTACCGTGCTGCTCGCTGTTCTCCTGGCTGGAGAGGAAGCTGCACATGAGGTTCTACAGTGCAAAGATCTCGCTGCTTCTGCATCATTCATTCTGCGGATCATTACTTCATTTATCTCTCCTGCCTCTTCCTAAATATTACCCAACCAATTACAAGTCGTCAGGGAGAAAGGTCGGACATGAGGAAGCAAAGCCATGTTGGGGCGCAGCGACACAGTGCAGAACAATGTAATTCATTAATGGGAAAAGATCAGCAGCAGGGAAACCACAGGCAATACTGGTCACTGGTCCTTTAACCTCTGCCTGGATTTTTTTGGATGGGACATAGCCTCTGGAATTAAGGTCCTCTTTAATGTCTGGCTGTCTTTGACTTCAATTGTTTCGGTGTCACTTACCAGATCTGTACCTGCCACCAGCAAATTATATACAAAATAATCTCCCCCCTGTAAAGCACTCAACATCTAGTGCCATTGCTCACCATTCGTGCTCCCAACCCAAACTGCAGCCCCCTCAAAGATGCAATTGTCAACTTTTCTAAAAGTCAGTATTTGCATACCGGTAGACAAGCCTCTGCCTGTCATGTGACAGACCTTGGGCTTGGCTATTGGGCCGGGCATGACCACTACATTGTCAGAGTCCAAGGAGAGCATGCATGTGTGCTCATCACCCTGAAATATTAGGTTATGCAATGAATTGGGATAGCAGCACTAGTGGTTACCTATGACCATGAAATGAGAGTGTTATGCAGTGTTGGGGGAGGGGGGGGGGGGGGGGAT